CTAGACCCTTCTTCTGAAGAAGGGTCTAGGCCCGAAACGTCAGCCTTCCTGCTTCCCTGATGCTGCTTGGCCTGCTGCGTTCATCCAGCTCTACACCTTGTTATCTCAGATTCTCCAGCATCTGCAGTTCCTACTATCCCTGTATAGGTAGCATTCGTTTTGCGCTATAGTTGTCGTATAATGCTTTAACATTGTCAAATGGGTCTTAGGGAGCAGTGGTAATGTCTGTACTTGTGGGCCAGAACATGCAAGCATTATTTGGCAGGGAAATGTCTGACATGCCTGAACAGGTTGATCAAGAATCATTTTTCAATATTGATGTTTTCATGATTTGCATGGCATCCCAACTGAAGCGATTAAAATATTTTCTGCCTTATCTAAATGGTTCATATCAAGTCCATATGCTACTCTAAAGGTACTCTAGAATTTTCTATTCTGAATATTGGTGTGTGGAATTAAGATATGGAGAGAAACAAACTAGCACAGACTGGATTGGCTGCTTGTCCTGTGTGCACTGTAGCATTCTATAATTCTTTGATTTTGAAGCATGCTTTCTATTTTGTTGGATCAGTGATACTGTGGTTTATTGTTACATATATCAATCACTATTCAATTAGTGTTCAGAGCGATTGATGCATTAACAAGAGGCCCCCAGAAACCCTTGTTGGATTCCTATCACTTGTGTCCCTGGATTAATCTGTGAAATTGATAGGCTAGATAAATTTGAGTATATAAAGTAAGTTTGTAGTAAACACCATCTTGACAAAACCAAACAAATGCAAATCTAGTTTATTCACAGTGGTAATTTGCTTTAATGTTTCCTTGGAATGGAACATTGGATTGGACTTCTGTTTTGACTGGATTCCAAGTGTTTTAATTCCCAACAAAGTGAAGATTAAAAATTGACAGTATATGGCTTACTAGCTCACCATGCCATGAAGTGTGTTTTTCTAGACAAGTGAATTCTTTTTTTAATTGCTATTACTCCAACTTAAGTGCATTGTATTCCTGAATTAATAAATTATAGGGAAAGACTGTTCTAATTTTCTCAATTTTGAGACAAGTCAACTGGTTGTCTACATGTTGTAATGACTGACCAATGACATAGCGACTTCATTACAATTCGCATTCTATTGTACTGATTCAAAACCGAAGTATTGAGCTTCTGGTGGTTTTGGATTTTGGCTGTATAAAAGCCGCTTAAACTGATGACAGTACAGGACATGTAATGTCAGTGTACTTACAAAAAGCATCAACACTCCTAACCTCCTAAGATATTCATGAACTCTCTCAATAGTCTTTCTATGGCACATTCTTGACATCTGTGTATATCCATATTCTAATTGTGTCATGAGAAGCCACCTATCTATTGTGAATTTTATCACCAGAAATTAGTCTGCATAATTTTGGAGACAGGGCAAATTTCCAGAGGACCTTGCACTAATAAATGTTGCTCAGTATCTTTTTATTAATTACATTAACTTTATTGTTATGGGCAGTAATTTTTCTATTTCAAGTATGTTTCTGTACTAAATAATGCAATGATGCTTAGAATAGGAGAAGGAGCAAGTAGGCAAATGAAAACCTAATTGCTGACCTTCTATTGCTTTGAAAAGAATAATAGGGATAAGCTTGACAGATCTTGGGGTGTATGCTAATATAAATAGATCAAAATAGCTATTTTTACTATAGTTTTGGTTATGCATTGATTTTAGTCAATGTACTTACTCCAGATATACCATTATTATAATGGCCTGAGAGTTTGAAAACTGTGCCCCTTGGTCAAATTAGAGATATTAGGAAGGAATGCAGATTCTACCACATTAACCATATCTTGCCAAAGCTTGAATAGTACTTTTATTTGATCTCCATGTTTATTCCCTTCTCCCTCCCTTTCTACTCCTGTCAAACTGGAAATAGTTCCTTGTTTTTATCAAATTCCAGCAGCTTGTTTTGTGTATTGGCAAGTGTTCTTTACTGTCCTTACTTGCCTCACTACTTTAACTGTTTTCATGTTACTTAATTTAGGGTTTTGTTTCAGGATATCTATGCATTCTGTTCGTGTGTGACGTCTTTCTTGTCATTAAATAACATGCAAGCCTCTGAATTACTGTGTATGAACACCAATAGTGTCCTTATTTGAGTCAAAATGCTTTCATGATTCAAATGTTTTATTTGAATTTTCTTTCTTTCCTTTTTGAGGGAGCCAACTAATGTTAAGGTGTGATTCAATAAACTGAAACTATTGTCCAAAGCCTTGTCTAAATTGGCATTCATTGTGTTGGCATGATGGAGCTTAGCTGTCGGGTACATTTCCTGACTTTGATTTTTTTCCTTGTCTAACGTTCCCTATTGCACACTTTTTCTGTCCTGGTTGATACTAACTATTGCAAGTGAAATTCCTGACAAAAGTTTGATCGTTACTTTTCTGTTATCTCCTTTTTACTGATGCACAGATCAATTTGAAGTGCAGTGCAGCAACTGGTATCCTTTTGAATACGTGGCCATTGAGGAGTTTAAGTGCACTGACCTTGCATCAAATTTGAAACTCTTTTTCAAGGAAAAATTATAACATAAGCCACTAACAATCTGAGGGTGTTCTCCAGCTGTTAAACACTAAATTTTGGATATCATTGAAATGCCGCAATCAAGTTGCATTTTTGGAGTTTGCACTGAAGCATGTTGTCCAATGTTATGAACAGTAGTTGCATACTTAAAAGCATCTATCATCACTCATGTATGTTAGCTGATTTCTGTCCAGTAGAGCATATTAGAATTCTCAAAAGTAAGCTTTTTACTATTAAATTTTGGAAGAAATGTTGGAATAGTATACTGCCATTACAAAATACTGCTGCTGCATTTTCTAATTTAGGAAAATGCCAAAAATCATTTCAAATTTTCTGCTATTGACGTCCCTCCATTCCTGCTTTGCTTTCCTCCAAAATTCTCCAATTTTCCTCCAAGCTCATTCTGAATCATTAGTTCTATTTCTTTTTCCTAGATGCTGCCTGACCCGAGTATTTCTAGCATTTTAGTTTTATTGCTTTGGATTTCCAACATTTATAATATTTTACCTTTTGGACTCTGGTGAAGATCCTGATTTTAATGTTGGTGCCAACGTGGATTGAACAAGAAGCTAGCAGAGAGCCAGCTGATCCAGGGGAGGTACGTTCAATGTACTTCAACAAACTTACAGCACTTAGGATCCATAGTTTTATTTATTTCTTGAAGTTCTGAAAGTTTTCAACAAAATGCTATCCGATAGGCTACTTTGTAAGAGAGACATCTAAAGGTAGGATATACGATAAGATAGATCAGGAATTGGCTGCATTTTCTCTTACATAAGACTTTTCAGAAAATTAAAGAATATCACTGCAGTAAACACATCAACAGATAAGTTTACTTTAAATATTTTTCAATAGTTCAGAGCTGCCTGTTTCATAAGGTGATGGTATTCAACTCTATGCTAAGCATTGCCTGATGTGACTTAAACCGCACTCTGACATGGCAGTGTGTAGCTTGTTTGCTGCACTGGAAAACAGTGGGCTGTTTCTGTGGTCCCCAATTCTTCCAGCTGAGCTCCTATTTACTGTGCATTTTTTCCAATGTTCTTGCTATTAGATTACATTGGAGTCAGACTCCAGAAGTCACAGCTGTCAGTAACTGTCTCCCTGTTAGTGTCAGTGTCTACCATCTTCATATTTTGCTTGCAGGTGCCCTTTCAATGAAATTATGGATGCCCAGGATGCTATGATCCAGTGACTGTACAGAAGATCTTTAGGTATATGGCCATCTTTCATCAATTAATGTGGCTGAGCCAACATAAACGTTATTGGTGTAGCAATGATTGTATGCAATTGGAATTGCCACACTCTAGGATCTTTGCGTTGGTGACCCTGTCCTGCCAAGACATACTGGGGATGTATCCGAGACAATGAAGGTGGAAACTGCTCAGCCTTTTGACAGTGGTGAGAAAAAGCTGAACATATTACTTGCACATTTCTTATCACAGCGGAGGCTTGTATAGTTGAGCAGTAGCTTCATTTTCTGAGGCAGGCCAGCTTTAATGTGCAATGAAGTCTCCTTTAAACTGGCTTATAACAATCACCAGCAACATTTCAGGTTATCAGTCTCCATCCAGACAAATCGCTGAACCAGCCTAGAGGTAAGGAAACATCAAATAATCTACATTGGTGTCAGAGTTTTTCAAACTTGCTGAGAACAAGCCATCTCTCATAACTGCCCCAATCCCTCCAGCCAGCCCTTGGGAGTTTCAATACCCAGGCATCCATCCTGTTTCAAAGAACCATTTCGTAAAGTGAGGATTTTCTTAACCACCAAACCACATTGGCTATTGCTTTCTGTATTAAGCATATACAGAACCAGTACAGGGGTATGGGAAAATGGACATGTGACTCATTCGTTGAATTAACATGCTCCTGTTTGTCAACATGCAATTTATAGAATTTTAAGTTTATTTTGGAGACCTTCAATAGCAAATCAATGTCTGCATTCAGGTACATTAAAGTCATGTTTCACTGTAAGACAGTAAGGCAAAATTCACTTCACAACATTGAGACAGAAGGAAATGGAGTTTCGTTGGTACTTCGCAGGTGAAATCTGCATTCATCAAAACATGGAATTAAAAGAAAGCTGAATGGCTACCATGCAACCATTATCAATTATCATAAAAACCCATCTGGCTCACTAGTGTCCTTTTTAGGAGAGGAAATCTTTCATCCTTACCTGGTCAGGCCTGAATGTGTTGCCAGACCCACAGCAGTGTGGTTGATTCATAAATGCCCTCTGTGCAATTAGCGATGGGTGATAAATATTGACGCGGCCAGTGGTGTCCACAATCGTGGATTAATTTTTTTAAATCCTTTTGAGACTGTGGGCAATGAAATTTTGCTTGTGCTTTGGGCCAAGTTGGGATACCCTCTTCAAATTGAGCACCAAATCTATTCAAGAGAATTGAGTTTAAAATCATCAGTCATCAATTAAAAGCATCAATTAATTGCTAATTTAAATGGGTGTCAATTTTAGCCATTACTACAAAGTCTTATGAAAAGTGATTTATAACTTAAAATAAGATTTGTATCATGCTTTTCGCAACAACCAGGTGTCCAGAATTGTTTTCTAACTGGATAAAGTGCTCTTGTTTTGGAGGTTATTCACCATTGGAGTGTAAGAGAGATGTCAGCCAATTTGGAAAGAGCTGCCTCCCACAAATAGTAATGTGATAATGACCAAATTATCTGCTTTTGCGATATTGATTGAAGAATAAACTTTGTCAGGACACATGATAATCTACACTACTGTTCATTTGAAGTGGTGCTACAGTATTGTGCTTGCCTAAAAGAACAAGCAGGGCCTCTGTTTGAAAATCTCATCTGAAAAATAGCATTTATGAATGTGCTGCTTTCGCTGTGGTGCACTGCAGAGACAACATAGATTTTGTGCACAAGTACTGGAGTGGGAACTCCAGATTGACACACTGAAATTTTATTTAACTTCTAGGACCAGAATTTCCTAGCTCAGTGTGTCAGAAGGCAGTGTCATCACTTGACTACAGAATAGCAAAAGGACAAAAACGTGTATTCCATATTACAAAAATTTTCTTATTCCTGCAAGGAGAAGTTGCACTTATCAGTTTGTCAGATATGTCAGCAACATAGTACAGCAACATTTCAGCCGCTAAGTTTTCCTCACTTGTTTTCATTCTTTTAGTCAATTAAGCCTGCTTGTTTCGACGACCATCCATCCAGAAACATGTCCCCACTAATTAGTTGCTTTTCTTCAACTCACGTTTTAACACAGCATGTCTAATTGAATTATCTTCAGTAGGTAGTTTTCTGGAGGTTGGACTCTGCTGTTGACCCACTGTAGATTCTTGCCCAGGCTTCTTTCACATTTTCCAAACCTGCAACTTCCACCATCTTGCAAGGGAAGGGCATCAGGTTCATAGGAGCATCATCCTTTCTAAGTACTACACCTCCTGGAAAATTGAGCCTGTTGAGTATTCAGTGAAGTTGTGACTGATCTGAAGCCTAACTCCATATACCCACATCCTTTAAATTGCAGAATCTTGGACTGTTATAGATGAAGGTCTTTTCATCTCATTGTGTCTGCACTGGTTCTCTGAACATTTTAACTTTGTACCAATTTCTCCTGCCTTTTACCATAACCCTGTGCATTGTTTCTATTTAAATAATCATCAGTAACCAAGAGGGTACCTTGAATGCCTCAATTAAACCTAATTCTACCACAATGCCAGGCATTCCATACCCCAGTGTCTCGCTGCTGTGATAATCTTTTTTCTCACCTTTTTTCATTTGTTTCCTTTGCAAAACAATTCAAAACTGTATCCTCTGTTTGTTGATCCATGAAGAGAGGGACTATTTCCCTCTTATTTACGCTGTCCAGATCTCTCGTTTCGAAAACTTCTATTGAATTTCCTTTTGAGCCTTCTCTTCTCCAAGGAAAACAGTCTCAATGTCTCCAAGCTTATCTCAACTGAACTGCCGTATCTCTGGAATCAGTTTCATAAGTATCTAAACACACTTTAGTGCTTTCACACTTCCTATAGTATGGCACCCAGAACTATACACAATATTTCAGTTGAAGTCTAACCAATATTTTATAAGCTCCCTGCTCCCTACTGTAAGCCCCTGTTAATGAAGCTTAGAATTGTTTATGCTTTACTAACTGCTCTCTCTAACAATGCTGCTATTCTCATTGATCTCTTATACCCCTGTTCCTGCTTTAGAATTATACCATTTATTTCATATCATCTGTCCATCTTCATCCTACCAAACCGCATCACCTTGCATTTCTCTGTATTGAATATCTTCTGGCACCTACCCACCCACTCCACTAAATTACCTATGGCCTTTTGAAGTTTTGCACAGACCTCCTCACAATGTTTCTAAGTTTTATATCATTTGCACACTTTGAAAATGCCCCCTGCACAACAAGATTTAAATCACTGATATGTAGCAGGAAAAGCAATGGTCCTAACAAACTGCTGAGAAACTCCACTACAAACGTCCTTCCAGCCAAAAGAAATCCACTGTTATTCTTTTTTTTCTGTTTGTGTTATATGTGCCAGTTTTGTAACCAAATTGCTACTGTCACTTTTATTTCATGACTTATGTTCCTCAAGCCTGTTGTATAGCATTGTGTCAAACACCTTTTGGAAGTCCATGTATACTATTATCAAAGGGCATTACCCTCATTAACTCCTTCTGTTACCTCTTCAAAGAAAATTCCAAGTTAGTGAAATATGATTTCCCCTTAGAAATCCATGCCAACTCTTCCTAAACAACCTACCGTTTTCCATGCAACTACTAATTGTTCCCTGAATAACTGTTTCCTGAAGTTTCCCCAATGAAATTTAAACTGACTGGTCTCTAATTGTTGGGTTTATCACTACAACCTTTTATGAACAAGGTTGTGACGTTTGCAGTTCTCCAGTGTTCTGGAATCTCCCCTGAAATTATGAAAGATTATGGTAAGTACCCCTGCAGTTTTTCACTCTCCATTCCCTCACATACTTGGATGTATCTCATCTGGTCCTGCTGCCTTGTCAACTTCAAGTAACCAACTATCTGGGCAGCACTCCTTCCCTGTCCTTGAACCTTACGAGAGACACATTTTCATGCTGTGTCCCCATGGCCTCGGTTTCATTTGTCTCTTTGTTAAAAACAGATGCAAAATATTCATATGATACCTCAACCATGACCCCTGTCCTTGTAATTTTGCTTACTGATCCTTCACCTGTTGTAAACAGTATTGTGTTTACTCTGCAAAACCTGATATTAAAAGTTCTTTCAAATCTCACCCCCTCCCCCAAAACCTCTCTGCTCTAAGAAGAACACCAACTTTTCCAGTCTGTCCATGTAACTGTGAGTCTTCACCCCAGGGACCACTTGGCTAAATTCCTTTGGTGACCTCTTCAAAGTTCTTGAGACCTTCCTGATCTATTGTGCCCACAGTTGGACACTTTTAGTTAAACAAACTGACATACGAATATATGAATCAGGAGGAGAGCATTCAACACTATGAGCCGGCTCTCCATAGAACATGATCATGGCTGATCTGATTGCGACTTCAAATGTATATTCCCATATACTCCTGATAATCCTTCAACCCTTGCTTAACAAGAATCTATCAACCTCTGCTTTAAAAATATTCAAAGACTCTGCTTAAGCCACCTTTCTCTGGGGAAAAAAATTCAAGCTGCTATGGTGAGATTTGAACCCATGTCCCTAGAGCATTAGCCTCGATGTCTGGACTACTAATCTATTGACAGTGCAAATCTACCACCATATTTTTGTTTTTCAAACTGTAGTATTATGCTATGTAGCTCTGATTATACCCGGTCTCATGGTACGCTGGCAGGAACAATTTGTGGTGATAAATTGGGAGAGCAATTAAAGACCAGAAAAGGAGATAATCACAAATAACTACAGGAAAATGTTTAACTTCCGGATTCAGTTAATTGCAGTTATAAGCTGATCTCTTTCCCTTTCAAACCGCTGTCTGAGTAAGTTGGTGGCTGGTGTTTTTCTTTCTTCCTCACCATTTTTGTTGTGTAGTCTTTAAAGTTGTCGAGTGCTCAAAGGATTTGGGGGGAAAAGAATGATGCTGTTCCCTATAATTTCCAGAGTCCTTGGGGTTAGCAAGCAGGAACAATTTTTAAAAAAATAAATTTATTTTTTTTCCCTGCAAATTTAGATGCATTCTGTGATTCCCTCATTGTTTGCACAAAATTTCAACTTTTTTGTTTTCGGGGAAGATGGTGCAATGACTTAATTTTTGATGTTTCAATTTTATATCTATTTGCAAGTTTAATGATTGTTGCGGAACAAAAATATATTTTTCCTTTTGAGTATGTGGAAAAATAGACTTTTGTTTCTCAATGTTATGTAAATGTTGGAAAATAGAGGAGGGTAGATGGTGATGCCAACCTCCTTTAAAATTGCAAGGAGGCTTAAAGGTAAGGAGCAGCAAGTTTGAGCTTGTTTCTTATATTGTGCACCTGGTTTCTTGTGTTCTATATGATTTATTCAATTTCATTAACAAGTTAAGTTGTACATGGTCTCTTGGAGTTGTGGGTATAAATCACCTCTTCTCATTTTGGAACTTGTATTTGCATGGTAATTTTGCATGACTGTTGATCACCCATATGCTTTATGATTGACTTAGAAGTGGTAAACAAAAGCTTTCATAGATTTAGTCTGACTGTTTTTCAAAGAACAATGCTTCCCTACATACACTAAAAACTGGAAATGCTTGTAGACAGAGGTACAGTCAAATTTATTTTGTACGCTTGGCAATTCGGCAATTAGGTTGGCAACCAATGATTATGAAGTGAGTTTGCTTTTGCTAAAGGATATAGATAAGCTTCATGACCATGAGCATGAAATATTCAACTAATAGAGATGAAAGAGGGGGGGGAGAAAAAAACCATTGAGGTGATGGGGAGTGATTTGGGTTAGAATTAAACAGTTGCACATCATGGAGAAAATTAAAACACGGAGAGGGATTAAAATGCATGTTAGTTTTGAGTGAGTAGACTGGGGGATAGAGAAATGAAATAAAGACAACTTATTTTTAAATTGAGGTTTGCGTATTGGGTGAATATATTTTACTGTTATTTATCCTAACAGATCGAAAGTTCGTCACCTGACCTTGGATCTAGTTTTTATCTTCTGCCTACCAAAATACAATCATGCAGCAGAACAAAAACTCTCAAAATGTTACTGTTTTTCATATAACAAAATTGTCTCATCACAGCCATTCATTGAAAATTGTTCTTCTTTTCAGAGAATTTTGAATTGATGTTAAGTGATGAGTATAACCTTCTGCTTTTGTTAAAAATGGTGAGTAGCAAATAACAGGATAAGTACAGGCAAGTAAATTTTATGGCTAGCTAAATGATTTTATTTTTGAATCCTGGCCATGCTTCTTTCAATACTACCAGTTTGAGTAAGACTGAGCTAGGAGATTAAATCCTAATGTAAATGGCATTTGTTACCATGGTGGGTTTAGAGAGCTAGGATCTCTTGCTGTATGAGTGTAAAATTGATTTAAGGCCTGCTTGTTTAGACCTGAAAAACGTATGATGTGCAAGAGCACTATTAATGCGTTTGTATGGAAATCATTCCTGTATACTTGATAATTATAACTTCCTGAACAAGAGAAGAAAAATCAGTTATAAATTTGTAATTTTACTTGTTTCTTTCTCTTCTCCTGGAAGTTGTTTAGATACTTGAATTTATAGGTTGAACAAGTAACTT